TTTATTAACCCCTTAAATGCACCATAAAATGATGGTATTGTAGATTTAATTTTGGTAGATTTCGGTAGTGTTTACGGTTTTCTAAAAATCAAAACCCTTTCTCATTTTTTATTCGAAAAATCTGGCTGAAAAAAAAAATTGGCTGAATGAAAATTTTCAATTAGAAAAAAATACAATCACATATTCTCATATAAATGAACTTCATATTAAACTACTATTATATATATATATATATATATATATATATATATATTGGCAATATAAAATTCGAATTAACTATAGATTATCACGAAAGACGTTTTACGATATCCGTTATATTTTGTTATGCAATCTGCATAAAACAAGTATAAAACATATAAGATATATCCTGCTGTAGACAATTAAATTTGAGCCAATAAAATGACTACAAATGTCAAATTCCATGTTAAAATCAATTTAATAATTTTCTATTTTATTTGGGAAATTAATCAAATTTTAATTCCTAAATTAAATAGTTAATTAATTGATTATTTAATATACATTGTTGGCCAATTAAAGAATGCCACATGTATATTTTAAAGGTCAATTAAAGAATGCCACATGTCATTTTCTTGGAGAGTAAAATAAATAATTATTTCTTTTAATAATTATTAAAGAGATAATTAAGTGGAAATTCATGTACCAATCAAATTGAAGTCTTCTTTTCCAAGACTCTCTCTCCTAATTATCTCTTTAAATAATTATTAAAGAGATAATTAAGTGGAAATTATGGACCAATCAAATTGAAGTCTTCTTTTCCAAGACTCTCTCTCCCAACACCTATAAATAGGGACCCTCCCTAAGGTGAAAAAAGGACAATTCATATTCAAGTTCCAAGTTCAAGAGCTCTAGAGAATTCTCTCCACAAAATTCAAGTGTTATTGGAGATCCAAAGGCGTTCTTGAAGATTCGAAGGAAGATTCAAGCACGTTCAAGCCCAAAACCGACGTTCAATCCGGAAACAAGCTGCCAAGCCTCCGAATTGCGTTATTAAAATTCAAGTGTTTTGAAGATTCAAAGGCGTTCTTGAAGACCCGAAGGAAGATTCAAGCGCATTCAAGCCCAAAATCGACGTTTAATCCGGAAACAAGCTGACAAGCCTCCGAATTACGTTATTCAAGTCAAGACCGACGTAGAGAAGATCAAAATCAACTTTGCGGCGAAGACCAAGGATTCGTGTTCTTCACGTTCTTGGGAAATCACGACGTTCGATTCGAGATCAAGCTATCAAGCCCTCGAAGAAACGTTATTTAAATCCAAATTCAAGACTGACGGAGATCAAACTGAAGATTAGTCTCCAAAAGTCTCAAGTCTATTTGAAGATCGTTCTTGAAGAAATTAATCAGAGGAATAATAGAGATTTGTAATCCGCTATATTTCTTTTGATCCGTTGAAAATCATTTGTACGAATTTCTCGTGTTTATTAATTCAATAATCCGAAATTTTGCGTTACACCTGCTAAATAATTTAATTGATTTATTTAAATCTGTCTAGAATCCTAATATATGTAACTTTCACGACCAACTTTATGCATGTTCCACGCGCTACGAATTTTAAGTGTTTGAAAATTTTAACTTGTGGCGGTAGACGATTTAACAAAAGGGCAAACAAATAATGTTGTATACAATAATGCGTTTCTTAATATATAAGTTACATTTTGTTTAGTCTAATGTATGCGTTTTACATTTTTCATTCATCAAATCTAAATGTTTACCATAATAAAACTAGCCCGTGCATCGCACGGGTACCACACTAGTGCATGGAGAAAAGGGAGTGGTATTATTCTAATTTGAACACGTATTTGCATTGATGGGAAATGACAAAAAAATTCAAAAATAAGTTCTAAAAATGGTAAAAAACAAAAACAAAAAAAATGCGGGAAAGAGACATACTATTTCGTATTTTTTCTTCACTCTATTATATAGTAATAGATGGTAAATTCCCATGTTTTGAGAGTTTATTTGACATAAATTGTTATTTGGATTGACACATGTAAATTAGATTTTGGAGATTAACATAAACTTATTTTTCCTTTCCTTTCTTAAATATATTACATTTATTTTTTATTAGTTGACATCCACTACAGTTCCTTTTCTTATTAAATACATATATTAATTATTATAAATATTTATTTTTCTTATTTTCATGTCCTCCCACTTTATTCTCCCGTTGGGAGCTTTGTATTTTTAGTCGCACTTTTGGTGTGCTTTTAATTTATAATAGTTTCTCTATCGTTTCGGAAAAAAAAAAAAAAAAACGATTTTTGATTTGATATACATATTGCATAAATAATACAAAAATAATTCCATGTGTCTTTATAAATAAAATTTAAATTTATTTATCATACCAAATGAGAAATCAAATTATCAAATAAAACTATAAATTAGTCCATAAAATAACAAAAACTGAATTTATTAATATAGCATGAACAACTATTTTAGCATATTGTTTTTAGACGGAATCAAATCAAAAAAAGTACTACCTCCTTTTTTAAATACATGTCGTTTTGACTTTTTTGATTCATCCATTTTGCTATGTATCTAGACATATTAATGTCTAGATACATAGCAAAATTGATGAATCAAAAAAGCCAGAACGACATTTATTTAAAAAATGAGGGAGTACTATTTTATTTATAATATATTTCAACTTGCAAGCTGCGTGAAACGGGCACATACGGGGCATGCGCCAAAGTATTTTGTAAACAAATGAATGAATACAAGTGAAAAGATGACATGTGGCCCCGGAAGTCCGGGCACACCGTATTTCCATAGACTCAAAACACAGTAGTATCAGCACCCTGTAACCCACTCAAACTGCAGTGCACCTTCCCGCACCAAATAACTTTCGAATTTTAAAATGCCAAGTAAAAAAGCTTACTAGCCGTTAAAACGCCCTTCCTTGTCATCATCATCCCCACCCCACCAACCTCTTTCTCTTGTTCCTCTCAGTCTTACCATCCAAACCACAGATGAAAAAGAGCACACAAAAGCTCTGCCTGCAAACAACAACAAAAAACACCATTTCTCCCAAAATCCTATTTTATCTCGAACCAGAACTATAGAGAGAGAGAGAAGAAGAAGAGAGATGAAGGGTGTGAAAGGGACACTACTGAAGAAGCTCAAGACAATGAAGACTATTGGGTACCTTAAGCCCGAACGGATTCTCCAAGTAAATGCATTAGTAGACGGCTACTTTAACCACACGTCCCCTCAAAAATCATACACTCGCCCCCCATTTTCAGACATTCAAGACCAAGAAGAGCCCAAGAATGTTAATTTCTTGGTCCAACTCCAAGAACCCGAGATAATTGATGTGGGAGAGCTGATGAAAGATCTGGACTATGATGATGATGATGATGATGATGATCGTGAGACGTCGATTGTCAGCAAAAACACCGACAAAGAGAATGTCAGGCCGCCGGGCGATGAGTCGTCTTTCAGACGGCCGGATCCGAATTCGAGGACCCTTTTCGACCCTCATCTTCTGGCAGCCTTCGAGCAGGCAGTCACAGATGCCAGGGCACGAGAGGTCGGTAGAAGATCGATAAATGTTGGTGTTGGGGCGGTCGAAAAAAAAACATTTGATCTTGATCCTCTCGCGGGATTCGAGGAGAGGTGTCCTCCTGGCGGCGGGAGTTTGGTCATTCTGTACACGACGAGTCTTAGAGGGATCCGAAAGACTTTCGAAGAGTGCCAGAGAGTTCGGTCTCTGCTCGAGAATCTGAGAGTATCGTTTGTCGAAAGAGACATCTCGATGCACGCGGTTTTTAGGGAGGAGCTGTGGGGGGTGTTGGGGGAGAGGGCGGTGCCTCCAAGGGTGTTTGTGAAGGGGAGGTATGTGGGAGGGGCAGAGGAGGTGTTGGGGCTGCACGAGCAGGGGAAACTTAGGGCGCTCATGCTGGGAATCCCCACACACGAGAAGTTGAGGGGGCCTTGTGTGGGGTGTGTTGGGTTTAGATTCCTCGTCTGTCTCAATTGTGATGGCAGCCGGAAAGTTGTGCCGGAGGGGGGTCGAGGGTCGCCCGACGTTTGCTCAGAGTGTAATGAAAATGGGGTGATTGTGTGCCCCTTGTGTTGTTGTTGAGTGTTACTAAAACTGCATTTTTATAATTTTTTTATTCTTTTTCTTGTGTGTGCAATTATGTTATGTTGAGCTTTTTCTCATTGGTGTGTAATTGGGAAATTGTGATTTTCAACGGGATGGTGGATATGGTATGTGTTCTAGTCTTCTTGACTTGCTATTATTGGAGTAGGCTGTTGGGAGAAAAAGTCCAATTCACTATTGTGGATCTACTCTATAGAGTATAGAGTAGAGAAAAAAAAAAAAAAAAAATGACTTCTCTCTACTCTACTATATAATATAGTCAACAAATATCAAGTTTTGTCTCCGATGCTACATGTAACTCTACAAAATAGTCTTGGAGTGCATGGAAGCTTGGTTCGGGCCATTCGAAAATTACTCAGTTGAGATTGGGAGACTAAAGTGGTTCTTCCCAAGTACTCATAATCAGAGAAAAGAGTGAGAGATGTACTCAAAGCTATCTCAGAGTCCCTAAATGTAGACGATGCATGACCAGATCCCCTGAGAACATAGGGCTTATCCTACCAACTTGGTATCCGCTTTGGAAGGATTTACATTCTCTGTATTGTAAAATGAATACACGGTTACACAAGGAGGTACTACACTAAGACTTCACTAGCTACCAAGTAGCTGGTTTCGCTATCTCCTCGGGAAAGATTCTTTGTTTTGAAAAAAAAGTACCACAAATAATAAAAAACATAAATTTGGGCGAGAATCTTCCTGCATATTTTAGATTTTTCCTTATTACTATGATATAACTAGTAATCAACTCTTTGCATTTGCACAGTGCAAATGGAGTATTATAAGTTATAGTTATACATATAATATTAAAATTATAAGTTAGATAAATAGTACATTGGTCAAAATAAATAGTACATAACTATTTGATTGCATATGAACTAGTAAAATTTGATCATTGGTCAAAATAAATAGTACGTAACTACTATATTAATTATATAAAATATAATAAATAATGTAATTTTGAGAGATCACCAATTAATTAACTAAAAAATATTAAATTTATTATAATGATTGTTTATGCGATTTTTAAGATTTTTACTATAACATTAAAATAAATTAATTCATTTAAAAATATATTCTTTAAATAAGATAAAAATATAATATTAATTTTAGAATAAAACTTGAGCAAAAAGTTTACAATAATATTTTATTTTTATGTAGCTTTCATATATTATTTAGTGTGAAACATAGTTATTAGTTTTAACTTTTAATAATAACTATTATATGATAGTTTTTTTACCTGAAAATTAAAAAATAAAAAATAAAGTACTGGAACAAAAAATACACGAACAAATGCGAGTGGAAAAAAATAAAAAATACGTATTTAGAGGATACGTTTTTTATTGTAAAACATATTATCAAAATACGTTTTACATTGTAAAAATTTTTGTAAAACGTATTATGAGAATACGTTTTACAATTAAATTTGTAAAGAAAACGTATTCTCTAAATACGTGTTTTTGATTTTGTTCCACATCTTTTTTTTTTGTCCACTTGTATTTTTATTATTTTTAATATATAAATTTCCCATTATATGATACATAAAATAATATAATTATTACTCAAGTAATATAAAATATAACAGTTTTTGTATTAGTTAACCCTAAAAAAGTGTAATAAAATATTTTAGCATTAATTAGATATGATGGATTAACAATAATAATAATATTGGATAGTAACGTAAAAAGACGATAAACTCAAATAATTTTATTTTTTTTTGTTAGTACTTATATAGATAGAGAGAGATAATTCGATGGTAAAGTTTGTAACAGTTTTTTGTGGGAATGTTACGAGAAGGCCCTGTTTGTTTTTCAACTTTTTAGCCAAAAAGTTGTTTTAGTGGTTTTGACCAGATTGGAAAAAGCTAAAACGGGTTTTCTTGATGTTTGGTAAGTCAGCTTTTGAAACTAGCGGATGGACTCAAAACGCCAAATATTGAAACACTAAGGCCTTGTTTGATAATCAACGGTTAGCTGTTAGTTGTTAGCGGATTGCGTTGGCTGTTTTGACCAGCTGATCGTGTTAGCAGTTTGTAAAAAGTGTTTGGTAAAATTAACTATTTTAATTTGCTGTTAACATGTAAAGTTACTTATAATGACATTAAGATACTTTGTCATTATAATTTATATTGAACTTATAATTATTTAAGAAATAGAAATAATTATTATTTTGAATATTTATTAAAGTGAGTTAAATATGATAAAAACATAAATAATAATAAAATGAAAATATTTAATAATCAAGTAAATAAGTTTAATAAAAAGTACAAATAATAATCGATTAAAAAAAGGCTCTCAAACCATGTGACTTGAGAACATGGTTAATTAAGTAATTTTAATTGTTTTATTCAAAAAATTCATTCCAAACGCCGCTACTTCCAGCGTTTCCAATTTGGAGGTTTGGGCATCAAAAAGCTAACTTGAACAGCCATTAACCAAACATATTTTTAAGTTTATTGATAAAGTCAAAACTGCTAAAAGACCAAAAACGCTGATTTTTTGTCAAAAAGCCATTTACCAAACATGACCTAAGATTAGTAGCATTTTGCTTTTATCAGAAATACCAGACACCTTTTATCAGAAATTCTATGGTGCCCATTATGATATGGACAAACCTAAACTAAAAGCATCCACAATGCTTTGGGTCTCTTTTTGCATATGTGGCAAATAAATAGACTTAAGTCCATAATGACATGGACAAACCTAAACTAAAAAAACCAAAATCTATCCAATGCAAAACCAAAAAGTACTAGGTCTAGAATACATGACAACCAATAAAAATGCTCTAGTATATTTCATTTATTAAAAGAAAAATTAAATGAGTAATAAATGATGAGTGCTTGGGTTTGTACTTGGGTCTAAAATAGACCCAAGTGTGGACTAGGTCTCATTTTTTTATTGCCACATAAGCTAGACTAGTTCCACTTTTAATTGCATTGGAGAACACTTTTTTATAGACTAGGTATATTCCTTACATGGCATGTAACTTTTTTCTAAGAAACCCAAAGCATTGTGGGTGCTCTTAGAGCACCATAAGCCATGTCACAATGTGATGTGGCATATAAGGTGACTTTACTACACATATCTACCAATTCCAACATTACATAAAATAAATTGTGAAAAAAAATAAATAAAAGATATTAAACATAATCTTACGTTCTCTTGCAATCAGAGACTTCACGATCTGTGCAAACTCCACATACGACCGACGGCTTGGGCCAGCCAGTAGCCTAATCTTCTCGCGCCAAAAAGTTGTTCGCAATATCATGGTTTTCGGATTGATGAACAAATTGCGTTATATTTATGAAAAAATTAATTGCAGGACCGGGGTGATGCACTAGAGACGATTGTGGGCACTATAGAATTTTTGCACCTTTTATAACACTTGTCCGTTATGCTTTTGCTTCTTTTTTTTTTTT